TTTTTTTTTTTTTTTTTTTTTTTTTAACTGACCAGGCAGGGCAGTTTATATAGGATGTCTTGGGGGCAGATTTAACCAGGGGTTGACTTGGGGCCCAGGATTCTACTGTCTAGCTCTGTGATTGGTTGGTTTCACAAGTCAGTTGGCCAGGGGCAGAGATGGCTCTGATCTGAGCCAAACTGTGTTTCTTTCACCAGCCTTACTTAGATTTTTGACACTATTTCTAAGGCCAGGGCACATTTCTTTCCCTAACTCTGATTCTAAGGACCAGGAATGTTTCTTTGGCACTAGTCTCAGAGTCAGGGCATGTTTCCTTGGTTCTGGGTTTGGGGATAAAATGTTCATTTCTCTGACTCAGGTCCCAAACCCAGGCTGTATTTCTTTCCCTGGTCCTGGGCCCCAGGGCCAGGGTTCTACTGTCTAGCTCTGTGATTGGTTGGTTTCACAAGTCGCCAGGGGCAGAGATGGCTCTGATCTGAGCTAAACTGTGTTTCTTTCACTGGCCTTATCTGAGCCATCTTTCCCTAGTTCTGGGCTCCAGGGTCAGGGTGGGTTTTTTTAGCCAACCCCTTTTCCCTATACTACATGGGGTCCCGAGAATGCATCTGAGAAGAAGGGGATGTGGAGCTCATGGGTCCAGTAAGAGATTCCAGCAAGACTTCTAATTCCAGCCAAGGATGGAGTCTGTGACCTCTTTTGCCAGGTTAGCTTGCCCCAATTCAGGCTTGACAGGAGGGCTAGTGAAGGTGATAGAGTCACAGTGAGGGGAGGGTTGGGGTCCTGTGTGTACTCACTCAGTACCCGGTCCTTCTCTTGCTGGGCCTGGCTGCAGAGCTGCTCCATGCCCATCTCTTCCCAGGTCTGGAAGGCCAGGAACCAGGCCCCATATTCCCCAAACCAAGAAACCAGGGTTGAGGCCACATCCATGACACAGGTTGACGGAGCCACACGGGTTAGCACCAGACTCTGGAACTTCTTCAGCTCTTCCTTATTCAGTTGCTTCAAGTAGTAGGCCAAGCGATCTTTTGTTCTGTTAGACATGTCGGCCCTGGGAATGGGGACAATAGGCATATAGACACAGGGATAGTGGTCTCCCAGTGCCTTGCCCTTGACCACCTCCAAAGCAAGGCTCTCAAAGGGATCATGTTTCTGGGCCTCGTGAAAGCAGTCACATTCCAGATTTAAAACTAAACTCTCTGTGTTTAGATGGTGTTGGGAGGTAGGAAGAGTTATAGGAAGAAGAAGAAGAAGACAGGAGGATACACTGGAAGATCTGATCATGTGAGGATGCAAGGAAAGGCCCAGGTCTAGTCAGTAAAGTGACAGGCAGCAGGAAGGAGGAGGGTGGGGGCTGGGAGGCAGGAGGAGTGGGAAGACGTAGGGATAGAAAGCAAAGGAGGATGAGAGAATCAGAGGGATGAAGGATGGGTGATGGATATTGGCAGGTGGAGGAATGGGAGGAGATGGACCTGGGCATGGACAGCTTGGAGCATTAGCATATGGGAGAATGAAGAAGGTAGGAAAGGATGGGGGAGGCTAGGATAGCAGGAAGAGAGGATATGAGGACAGAGAGATGGAGGAATGGGATGTGTGTGACACTCATTGTTTTGTGGTCCCTACCTTCTTCCTCCCTCAACATTCATGAGATCAGTTTTTAGCTACTGCCTTGACAGAAGGTGAGGTGGTGAGATGCAGCCCAGAGTGGCACTCAGAGGCCACGTTTGAGTCCAGGCTAGCCCCTTTGAAGGTCTCTTTAGAAACCTCCTGGCCCAGGACATCACACAGGGGTATTAATCCAGAGCCAGCTTCCCAGCAGGAAGAGCAAGTGACCCAGAGAGAAAAGGAAAGAGCAGTGTGGACAGGAGAGGGGAGAGTCGTCCTGGTAGGTCATCCAGGGAGGCTATGGTAAGTGCAGGCACGTGCAGGATATGGGAGCACCCAGCAGCCTACTACCCACTAGAGCAGGCCTTCAGAGTCCACACAGGGTGGGGCCTTGACCCTGTCTCTCAGGATGGAACCCCAGGTCTACCACAGCACCCACTTAGTAGAGTCTTGCCAGGGAATATCCTTCCTCACCTCCCATGGTTTGGGGCATTTTCTGAGTCCCACTACTCACCCCGCTCTTCTGTGGGGCCCACTGATGTGTGTGTCTCAGGCCAAGGCAGCTGTGGGGTTCACAGAGCCCTCAGCTAGCAAACACATCCTTTGAAAGTGAAAGAGATCTTGGCTCCTCATGCAAAGCTAGGCATCAGGAGCCTCCGCAGATAGATGATCTCTGTCTTTTGGCAGGTTCTCAGATCTTTGGGCCTTCAGGCTGAAAATGACATTGTTCAACTTCCTCTTGTGAAACACCACTACAAATTTTTAGAGTTTTGATTAGCCCTGGGTTGGATCTACCCAGGCTTTCTGAGGCCCCGACTCCCTGAGTTTAGGATTGACTTACTTGACAAACCTCAGTTTTGTCCATTTACTATGTGGGATGTGATGGGTTTGCGAAGCAGTTCTGATTCAGCAAAAGTCTTTGATCACTTTGATCACTCTAGATCCTTTCTCTCTCTCTCTCTCTCTCTCTCTCTCTCTCTCTCTCTCTCTCTCTCTCTCTCGTAGTCTGAAGTTTTTCTGGTCACACCTGGCCCTGCGGTCCTGCAGCCGGTTATAAAATAACCACTCAAAGGCTTATATTAATTACAAACTGTATGGCCAATGGCTTAAGTTTCTTGCTAGCTAGCTCTATCATCTTAAATTAACCCATGTCTATTAATCTGTGTTTTGCCACATGTTCCGTGGCTTTACCGGTCTGCTGGCATGTTGTTCCTTGGGTGACAGGCTGGCATCTCCCCAGACTCCGCCTTTCTCTTTCCTGTCTCTCTCCTTGGATTTCCCGCCTGCCTCTAAGCTACCTTGCCATAAGGCTAAAGCAGCTTATTTAGTAACCAATGGGAATAACATCATTCACAGCATACAGAAAGACATCTCACAGTTCTCTCTCTCTCTCTCTCTCTCTCTCTCTCTCTCTCTCTCTCTCTTTCTCTTTCTCTCTGTCCTCTTCCTCCCCTCCACTGCCTCACCTGTTGGCTATTCATTTTAGTAAATGGCTCTTTAGGCCTCAAACACTGGGTCTCTCACTTCTAAAATATTTGTTTTTATTCTATGTGTATGCGTGCAAGTCTGTAAGTATGCTTTGTGTGTGGGTGCGTGGGAGGGGTGGAAGAGGACATAGGATTTCCCTGGAGCTGGAGCTGTAGGTAACAGTCAGCCACCTGATGTGGGTGCTCTGCCATGATGTGAACTCAGTCCTCTGGAAGTGCAGCAAGTGCTCTTAACTTCTGAATGGTCTCTCCAGACCCCCTGGGTCTTTTTTGTGTCACAAACTTTCCCCAGGTCTTCCTTTTCCACTGACGCCATCCTTTTTTTAGGTGTGGTGTGTGTGTGTGTGTGTGTGTGTGTGCATGCTTGTATGCATCTGGGCTCATTTGTTTTGTAGGGCCACAGTCCTTGAGTGCTCTCCAGTCCATTTACTGAGGAAGAGTCTTGCACTGAACTGAGAGTTTATGGATTTGACTAGTCTAGCTAGCCAGCCAGGTGGGAGTACCCCAGTTTCCTCCTCCTGAGCTCTGGGATGACAAGCCTGTGGCCATCCCAGCATGCATTTGTGAGGATGCTGTGATCAGACAAATGTCCTTATGCTTGCATAGCA